AAAAAAAAAAAAAAAGATTTTCCTGGCCTTCAGCTCCTTAAGCTAGATTATCCACTTTTTTCTTTTCTATAACTACTCCTTGCAATCGATTAATTTGAGATTTGAAGACACAAGATACTTCTTAAAAGAAAATTGGAGTATTAATTAATCTTCTTTGTATTGTTCCAATTTATCGAATTATCCAAAGGGACTAGACACAAATTACATATATCTACACGTTTATTATCTGGAATAATCTGTAACCCTAGTTTCCATGCAACAGCTAGGGCTACAAGTCAAAGACATCACACAAAAAATGAAAAAGACTCCATGCTTACCCCAAGCTAAGCAAAAAAAATGTATCTATATAAAGAGAATCCTTAGCATAATTCAAAGCAAATCATATATCCTCTTAAACTTACATCCCACAAAAAAAAAAAAGAGAAAAAGTAAATTAAAGAATGTTGAAGCCTCAGCTTCATCAAATATCACAATCTACAAAAACCCTAATCCCATGGAGTAGTACTAGATCATTTATTTCTGGAGAAATCTTAGCCTCTTTTCCCATCAATATTTTAAATAAAAACCTTAGACAAAATCAGAAGAAGAATTTTAGGGTTCATTATAATGCTGCAAATAGCACAAAAGCTGTGCTTAGTTCTACTGAGAAATCTACTAGTGTAAAAGCAGTGATAACTGTCCAAAAAACAGTTGGAGGCACTAACTTATCTTTAACAAGAGGACTTGATGATATTGGTGATTTACTTGGTAAAACACTCCTTTTGTGGATTGTTGCAGCTGAGCTTGATCCTAGTAAGTGTTCTCTTTTTACATTTTTTTTCTGGTACACGGGTTGGAACGAGGGGCAAATTCAGAGTTTAAGCTCGATGGATTCAACCAGTTTTAAAGTTTTTAGCAATAAACTCACTGACTTTCGAAACGTATATCTATGCTTCACTTAAAAGATATCGCGGTTCAATAGAACCCGGCCTGTTGGAACTAAATTAATTAAAGTGCATCTGCCTTTAGAGGCGAATCTAAGATTTAACTTTGATAGGTTCAACCCTTTATGTTCTCGTTATTAAATTATTGCACTCTTTCAATTATGAGTTCAGAACTTAGTATTTGTTCATATGTTAGTATTTTTTACATATATTTTGTTCTATATATATAAAATATGGTATTCAATATTTGAGCCCGTTGACACTAAATTTCCTTGTGCATACATCAAATTTCAAATCAGCATCTGTTGTCTAACCTTTTATGATAGTGAAGTAAATAATTGTACTTTTTTTCCAACTATGTAAATAATTGTATTATTTTATGTTGATAATAGATAAGCCGTTTGTGGATGCTATTTCGTTTGCAAATTATCTTCTATCGGATTCACTCAGTTCACCGAAACAACGTACGAATGTAACGTGCAAAACTGAAGCAAATTGTACTTTGATAATTTTTTCAAAATTGAAAACGATTTAAATAATTAACTCAATAACTTCGAAGCTGAAGATTATTATTGCTCCTTTTTTAGTTTTTTTTTTTTTTTGTTTTGAATTTTTGAAATTTTGACGAGCATATAAAATAAAAGTTTGTTTACTACCTTATCTTATAAAAGAAAAAAAAAAGGCATAATCATGCAAAAGTCATTCAATATTTCTTTTATGCTGATTTCTTACTTCATAATTGTTCAAGTTTTTCCTCATTTTCTCACTGCAAAAATTAACTACGAAATTCATGTCTATTCTATTGCTAAATAGCCTGTAGCTGATAAGATTTTTCTGTAATGTCACTGAATTGGTTAAGCGATAAAAATATACAGTTTAGCAACATCCGCGCGACGTTATCCAATTTTTTTAAAAATTTTTTAGTGTCTTAATTCCTGATAGAATGTCCTCTTTTGTCTTGCAACTTGTATTTAACTGTTATTCTTTTTGTTAATGGTTTTTCTTTGAATATTATTAATTATATATTTTGTTCTCTATTATCTCTTTTAAAGAGACTGGAATAAAGAAACCAAGCATTAAGACGTTTGCACATCGTGGACGAGATGTGGAAGGTTACACACAATATGAGGCTGATTTTGTAATTCCTGAAGACTTTGGGGAGGTTGGAGCAGTTTTAGTACAAAATGAGCACCACAAGGAAATGTATGTCAAGAATATAGTAATCGATGGCTTTCCCCATGGCATAGTTAATATTACTTGCGATTCTTGGGTTCACTCCAAATTTGATGATCCTGAGGAAAGGATTTTCTTCACCAACAAGGTTTGCCAAAAATTCCCTCTTCATTTATGCTTTATTTATTTTACCCAAAATAATTACTATCTTATTATATTTTTGGAAAAAGAATTAATAATGATTTTCTCTCATAGTAGCCAAACAATTAGAATTGACAAACCATAATAGGTGATCTAAAAACGTGAGTTATTTCACAAATATTTCGTAATTTAGACATGCTTTTTTTGTCCAGAATAAGAAATTTCCGGTTGATTGATTTTCACTAGACCTATTAAATGGGTCGACGCGACCCGAACTCGTTGACGCTGGTCCGAGCCGGTTGACCCGTGGGTCAGCTATCAGTTCGGAGCCGGTCCGATTCAGTGGGTCAAAGTATTATAGCCCGACCCAGGCCCCTTAAATTAATGGGTTAGTCCAGTTAGGGTTTCGTAGGTCATGGGCCGTTTAAAGAGTCAATTTTAATGAAAAATTTAAAAATAGTCAGTTTTACAAGTGATCATTCAAAAATAGTCACAGTTTCAAAAGTCATCGAAATTTAGCCACTTTTCATGTAAAGATAAATTTGAACGAAAACACTGTTCAAAATCCGAAAAATACTCCAACATAATATATTGGAATTCCAGTATAATATACTGGAGTTCCAGTATATTATACTGGAGCCAACAAACTATACCGGGCCAGCATAATATGCTGGAAGTTCATGCACAGGTGCACCGAACTCCAGTATATTATGTTGGACCGGTCTCTATTGCAGCAAAATAGTGGCTATTTTTCAATAACTTGGCAAACGCTGGCTATTTTTGAATGAACAGTCCGAAAAACTGGCTAGCCCGTGCTATTTTAACGTTATGTTGGTCGGTTCATGGTCCACCCGGCCCATTTGACATGCCAAATTTTGATATATAATGGACGAAAATATGATCTAACTATAGAAGAAGTGATTCAAGTTATATTTACCAGGTTATTGCTTAAGCTTATTATAGCAATTTACTTGTAATTATATTATAATCAGTGACTTGATTGTATAAGCTTAAATATTAAACTAGTAAAAGATTTCCTATAATAAACAGTTTAAAGTACCCCTAGTATGTTTTACCTTCTTTTCTTCAAAACCTAAAAAGAATTCTAAAAATCACGTCCATATTTTACCATCCCAATTATGGGGTCTTACATGTAACAAGAAGCATATATTCGAATTGGCACAATTGGAATATTGATAGGTAATAAAAGATTCAATTTTTGTTCACCTGGTAACTGTTTAATAATAGACGATCTTTTCGTTAGTACTGGACCGCATATAGGGATAATTGTTTAATAATAGTTTTCGTTAGTACTGGACTACATATAGGAGTAGCATGACACACATAACTCTCACATCGGCGCTTATGCACACAGTTTTACTATGCATTTTTACAATAGATTATTTTTGCAACTTCAGTACGCTAGCCCATACTATTTTTACCATATATAGTGGTCCATTCCAATATTCGATATATAGTTATGTTTTTGTTTCATCTCAATTAATATTATACTAATTTTAGAAAATATGTACTCGCTCCGTTCACTTTTAATTGTCAAGTATTCCAAAAATAAATTTTTATTTTTATTTGACACTTTTCTCATATCAAGAAATAACTTATTTTTTCTGTTTTGATCTTAATATTAATTACTCATTTCAAATTCATTAAGATTATACATCAATTAATATGAGTATCATGATAAATTAGGAACTTTATTTATTAATTCTTAAGGGGTGCGTAAAGTCAATAGTGGCAAGTAAAAGTGAACGGAGAGAGTACATAAAATACCTAATTTTACAAAAAAGACCATGTATTCACGTACCCCATAATTTTGCCTATAAATCCGCTCCCGTTGATAGTCAAGAGATTACATATTTAGTGTATATTTGATTTCAATAATTTCTTGAAATTTTACTAACATAATTGGATCATTTCAATGTACTCTTTCAATTGTATCCATAATGAGAATCAATCCAGGCTTATTAATATGTTTTATTTCCATATTGATACACAGTCATATCTACCATCTCAAACACCAAGTGCAATAAAGAGATTAAGAGGAAAAGAACTTGTAATATTGAGAGGTGATGGAATTGGACAACGTAAAAAGTTCGAGAGAGTATATGATTATGATGTTTACAATGATATTGGAGATCCTGATGCCAGTGATGATACTAAAAGACCAGTACTTGGTGGTAATGAATTCCCTTATCCTAGAAGATGCAGAACTGGTGGCCCACGAAGCGAGAAAGGTACTCCCGACGCTTCAATTTATATGACACATTTAAAATCTTGGTTTAAAGATGTGGAATTTGCTCGTCAAACCTTAGCTGGTTTGAACCCCTATAGTATACGCTTGGTTACGGTATGGTTGATTTCCCTTAATTAGTTATTTTATTTCATTTTATCATATTACTTAATTATTGTTTTATAAATCAAAGCATACATTATGGTTAAAGATCAAATTATTGATAGAAACACAGGACTAAAAATAGTTCATGAAAATTCCAGGAATGGCCATTGAAGAGCAAGCTAGACCCTGAGATATATGGACCTCCTGAATCAGCAATCACAAAAGAGCTAATTGAGCTAGAAATTGCAGGATTCATGACTGTTGAAGAGGTATATATAAACAAATCCTTTGTTTTTTTTAAAAAAAAAATTTATAAGAAAAATTACACTGTTTATGGTTTCTTTATGGACACACGATATTCCGCAGTCCGCAGGCCAACGGTTGGGGAAGCGCACAAATAGCCGCTCTTAGGGCTGCTATTTAGGAATTAGCTTGTGCTTATTTCCTAAAAATTTAAATTTCAGGACAATTCAGGACATTTGTGTCTCAAAAAATTTAACTGAAAAACTAAAATTCGAG